CGAGTCAAAAGCATTTCTTCGTTGGTTTAATTCTACTCATTAAAATTGATTATCGTCACCATCGACCTATAAACATCTTGATCAGATGATTTAAGCAGCATCTTCGGTGTTTCGGCACTTCGGCACTATATACGATATTAAATTAAGACTTAGACAGGATACCCTATATCAGACAAATCGGCAGTTTCAATTCATGTCACTCTCAGTTTATCTGGCTTGTGAAATATGTTATGGAATAGCGGGAATTAAGATACGGCTACATACATGTGTCTATATTTCTTAAACTGGAAAATGCAAATGCATTAATGTTTTTCATTTTGTTGCGACTTCGTTTTGAGAATGTTTAACTCAAAAGTCTAAATAAATAATATGTGCGTAAAAAGAGTGTCTGACTTCAAACGCTCCAACTACGACCAATATCAAAGAAGAAAGAGTTGCCTTTCAAGTGAGCACTGAGCATGTGCATTTAGGCCCACCGCGCACTAGCTTTTCCCTCCATCACTAGTTTGATTGTTCTCGCAATCAAAATGGAGTTTTGTATATTCCAAGAAGATTTAAAATTGACTGATATATGTATCGATAATGACTGACCGCTTCCTATTTGATTTAAATATCAAACAACTATCGGCCAGTGCACAATGTCTGTATTTTTCTGACTGCCAATCTATTGCACAGTCATAATGGCGACATATCGGTCGTTAGTTACGTACGGGAGCTGTTTAAGGATTAATCAGTCTCTAAAAACAAATATCTTTCTGCTCCTAGCCTACACCTTGTCTTTTGCCCACAGATCGGTGGTAGAACTCAGACCACTAGAACACTAAACTATAGATCGATGGTCCCATCACGGCCGCCAAATGGTAGTGACTAAATTTTCGTTTGATTAGAAATAAAAGGGGCACGGTGTCTCTATACCGAATGACAGTGCCGTGAGAACAGCTTAAGTACTTCCTTAATGAGGTTGCGTTACCGCCTCGTTCGTATGTTGGCACCTAAGGTTACTACGCCTTTGACATTATGAACACACTTGCAAATTTTACCTCTTGATTTTAATATTACTAAATTTTTGCCTCGACTTTGAATGCAGGTGTAAGGAGAACAAATATTTTTTCTGTAACCCTGACAATGTTGTCAAATACTTAAACAGGTCATCATTAAGTTTTGCATACATGTGTATGCAAATCTTAATGAATGCGTACCTAAGTATTTGAGGCGTTGACGTTTAGTATTAAAATTTAAGCCGAATCGGTGCAGAATTATTTGAGTTTTTGAATCGTACATAAATCATCTAATCATTTATATATCTATAGATTCCTCAACTGTAGCCAACAGGAATTATTATAATTTAAGCATCTTTCTTTGTAAGCACAAACATGCTTAAATTAGAATAATTTATTTAAACGTATTTCCATAATGTAAATTCCTCCTTAAGCATCTAACCCCTTTTGACAAGATTATTGTTAAGATTTACAGAACAAGTAAAAGGACAACTTCATTTTACTATCAGCATTTATAAAAAGTACTCTACTTGTAGGCTGTTCTATAGTCTTAATAAAACTGTTAGGTGCTGATTGCTATGATTGGATTTCTCTTCAGATCTTATTATTTCAAATGTTACTTTCCATACTTTTTTATTACTTCTATAATCGATCCTGATAAGCAATCTCCTTCTATAGGCAAAGCTTTTTACAAATTCGCCATGATAAGTTTACGCTATACGATTTTAGAGAACCACTAAGACAAAATGCTTGTTTTTTAAGTGTGGGTGCTACCACGGGTCATCACTTCACCAGAGCTGAGGGTGAAGTGGTATGTCGGACTCGAACCAGATATCATCTCCATGGGACACATCCTACCTCTTCTACTCTGGCTATCATCTTGAATACTAATTCTTTGGTGGGCTGGAGTGTACGTGTACGTTAGAGATGATATCAGTTCTCGCCGCTTCGGCAATCTTGAAGGACGGGAACTCTTCATCTTGTGGCTCCGCGTAGACAGGGACGACCATCGATATCGCCTCGGTTCGAGAGCAGCTCCCTAACTGCCTCAGCCAGTATTGGAATCCTAGGCATGGACATGTCTGGGTCATTCAGAGGGTAAGGTCAAATTGGCCTCGAAGAAGTTTGGTGTGCTCAAAAGATCCAAGCACTATTTCACTCCATCCCATCGCCTCCAACTCTATAAGGCACTTTTCATTCCGGCCGCACTTCAGTACCAGCTTCTCCATCTGGGAGGTATCCAAAGAAAAGCGACCCGAATCGTCGATTGCCAAAAGATATCCGACCGACTCGATCCTTTTGGCGTTACGTAGAGATGTAGCTTCGATCTGCATTCTCTGTCGTATATATCATGGATAGTGCTTCGAGGAATGGTTGGAACTAATACCGGCCGTGACTTCGTTCCACACGACAAAATTTTCATCCCCACTACTTGGATAATTGGCACTGCACTGTGCGCTTTTCGAGACACTTTTTGCCTCGCACTACCAACCTGTGGAACAAGTTTTTGGCTGCGGTATCTAGTTTGCCCACTATTTCATAAAAAAAGGTGACAACGCCGTGGAGTACGGTTACCCTAACCCCCGCTCTCCGACACAGCGACGCCTGATTGGCAGTAACACGAATAGCTCTTGACACAAAAATTACATACTGAAACTTAACCATATGTAATCTTTTTTCTATTCATTTCTTAAAACGAATTATTATTTACAACAAGTATTATTTAAAGATGCTTTTAAGTAACGTTATTGTTGTACAATGAGACCGTATTGTGCAGAAATGATCCAATCTACAAACAGACCAAAAGTGAAACATTGATAGTGAACTATCAAAATATTTATTTTTGCTGTTTTTATTATGACGTATTTTTTTACTAATAGAAATACATTTTGGCGGAATTGGCATTATTCATTTGATAAATTTGTTGATTGGCCTGTCTGTATACAATACGGTTCAATCTTTACCAATATTATAAAGCTAAAGAGTTTGTTTGTTATGTCGAACGCGGTATTCCCAGGTACTACTGGTTCCCTAGCAGAAGCAGGCCGGGGTGGCGGCGAGCGCGTTGCGAAGCGCGCTCGCTTCCAGGGAGCACAGGGAACATGGGGTTCCCACACGGGGCGGGGGTCGTCTACTCGTCTGTAGATGACCCGAGGTATGTCGGGGCACCAGGGCCTTCCTTTCTAGGGTATACCTGGTTCCCCGGCTATTAGTACCCGGCGAAGGCGTGCGGTTTTAGTCGGTTCGAGTCCGACATGCCACCGACAGGTGGTATCCGAGGGGATTTCCGCACGGGAAAAAAAAAAAAAAAAAAAAAAAAAAAAAAAAAAAAAAAAAAAAGGTACTACTGGTTAGAATTGAAAAAATATTTTAGTGTTCGATAGGCCATTTGGAGAAGGCTATAGGCATTTTATCCGTGTGGTGACAGATTAAGAATAGATTCATCCTCTGGGTGTTGTAAGAGCCGACTAAGGGAGCAAAATGGTGCAGAGGTAGCGTATGCGACTGCTGTGCTGAGGTCTCGGGTTCGATACCGGACCAAATGTTTGTATGATCTGCAAATATTTGTTTCGGAGTTTGGGTGTTTTCTATGTATAATATGTACGTTTTTACAAATATTCTATCAGTCAATCTACCTTTCATAGTGCAAGCTCTGCTTAGTTTGAACCGAGGTCCCAATATAAAAAAAATATGCAGGTCAACTGCACTGCAAAGAAAAGAAAAACTTGAACCAAACCCTATACCAACCCGTCTGGCCAGCGCTGTATAGTAGACCAAAACATCCTTTCTAAGGAGAGGCCTATGTCCAGTAGTGGACTATTAAAGGCTGTTGATGATGATGATAAAAAAAAACCTTTTTAACATTGCACTACGACCGAGCATTAATGACATATGTTACGGAGTAAAATTGATTCCCTTTGAAAAAAGCAACCTAAGGTGCGCGAGTCAGCTAGTTAGATAATAAATGATAGCATCGCCTCTTAACATAAATAAAATTGCTGTTGTTTGCTCAATAGGTATTCCAATCCAGGTTGGCGAATAACTACTGAGAATTAATAGTTGCCAGTAACACATGCCTATTAGAAAGATCGTAAGCTTGTACACAAACTGGGTGATATGAAAGTGGCGTATTAACATAAATGACACACACATAGTCTTTCATGAACATGGCAACCCTACTAGCAGCAAGCTTATCAGCTTGCAGTTATGAGCCTGTGCGATGTCATAACTAATAATTTGTTGACTTCAAAAGCACTTTATGAGTAGTTCCTGGTTTCATATATTAATTTGCCTGTGTTGTGGGTCTTGAATGTCGTCCTAGTTGATATGTCGGGGTTTGTAAACGGTCACAGATAAATAGTGGTCTCAGTTAATTATCCTGCAAAATAGCCCTAATAGGTTTTTGACAACTACTTTGTAATTTTGATTTCTGCTATACTTTCATTAATTAATAATTATATTTGATCTGGCGTGTGGACTTAAAACAAATTATCACGTAAAATTAAATAATGCAACGGATCCGCATCAGCGAGGACGCCACATCCATAGTTCATCAAGATTACTCTCAAAGAATTTGTCAATAACATTCAATTTTTTCTAAAACGCCATTGTGATTTATCTGCGGTAATCTTCCATCTACGTCATCAGGTTAAGCCATAGGTCATAGCCATTTTGTAGTCATTACAACTGCATATGTATGCCAAACAGCAAAATCCGTTTTTAGATAAAAATTCAATGGATAAACCATCACCATATCGGAAACTAATACTTGAAGATAAACACCGTAAATATTCCGTTTATAATAATTTCAATAACTTATCAAACCATCAATAACTTTTAGTTTGATTTTTTTCAATTTATATCGGATTAATTTTGAACCAAAAAAAATAGAAATCGGTATATGGCCTATCTACCGAAATTACCCATTTTGTTATTGATATTGAATTATTGTTAATAAGTTTAACGAATATAAGCTATGTGTCGTAAAAATAAATGACTTACCAACTAGTGCCAAAATGACAGTGAGAATTGGTGCAGCCGGAAATGATACAGTTACGTTGAATTCTAACATCTGCAGTAAATCCACTGAAACAAAACGAATCCAATTAAATATTGTTACTACAGGCACAGCATCTGTTACAAAGATATTTGATACAATTTTAAGATGATTTCAAAAAAAGTGTTGATAGTTTATTTAAATAAACTTTTCTCATAACATAAAATGGATAAAATTGAATCAAGACCAAATTTAAATCCATGATTAAACAAAAATTAAATACCTAATCATGTAGATCTCGATATGTAGAACAAAATATTTTAAACCTCTTTTTTGTTTGCATTTATAATTTTAACTCCTAAAAGTTTAATAAAAACCACCACCCTTATACTAAAGATTACATGTGTGACCTATCCTAGGAAATTTTACCTGTAATCTACTGATCAAATAAGTTTTAAATCAATACGTCTATTAATTTCTTCAAACACAGGTGTGCAAATTTTGAGGGCGAAATTAAAAACGTCAAGATGCCTTTCAGATTGCAATTTATTTTGAGTGTTTTTTTTGTTGTAATTAATTTAGCACAGGCTATTTTTTAAGTGGAAATGTCGTGTGTGCTAGTGTGTGTTTTTTTTTTCTCCTTTATTATGTTCTACTTCACTTTCAATTCTATTCGATATTTTTTCTTTATCTTGTTTTCTCTCCGTTGCTTTTACCTTTTAGTCCTTAATAACTAACATACTAGCGCACACATCAAAACAGTGTTGTGATATATCTAATGATGCAACTGTGACTGGCAGTAATTAAAAAAGAGTTTTAAATCAAGTTATTTTATCATAAACATGCATTATCATCCGAACTGAACTCGACTCTAGTTTTAACCAGTGTTCTCTGTCTTATGTTGTGTTTGTGTTAATTGTTTGTTTTTCAAAGCGTCTTCGGGCAGGTAGGTATTAACTTAATTCTGTTCGTGAACGATGTACAAGTTATGTTTTAGAAATAAGATACACAAGAAATAAGTGTATGTTTTCCTCTCGCACCGTTTTTTATTTTTCAAGTCTCATTTACAGGCCGATCCAAGTTAAATAAAATATTGAAGATGAATAATAAGAAATAACTAATTTTAAATAACTGTAGGTATTTAATTAAAGAACAATACAGTCTCTCATCGACCTAAGAATCTTTAAGTACTGTCGATATTTACTGCTGTATGTGTACTACGCCACAAATATTTAATAATTCAATGTCCAACGCGTCTAGAGATAATTTCATTTCACAATGTGAAAATTTGTATGTGGAAGCAGAATCCGAGTAAATATTGTGGACAGTACCCAGAAGGTAAAATTGATAATAATTTCTTATAGGTAACCCTTAGAGAGACGAATAAAAAAAACCCAATCAATAAAAATGCAGTGTAAAAGGAAATGATCATCATAGAGGTTTTGCAATTATATTGCATTTTTTTATTTATTTTTATGTCAGACGAGCAGACGGGTCACCTGATGGAAAGTTACTATCGCCGCCCATGCATCTTTTAATTATTTAATACAAGCTTGTGCCCGCGACTTCGTTCGTGTGGAATTTGAAAAGCGCTGTTTTAGTGGGTTCGATTCCCGGACCGGGAAAAAATTTATAGGGTTTTTCTAAGAGAAAAATAGCCTAAGTTACGCATTATATAGACAGTTAATATCGGTTCAGCCGTTTTGAATATTACCCGGAACAAACAGACAGACTGATAGTTAACTATGCCCATATACACTCATGGAATCGGAGAATAAATCCTAATACAAGTAAAATTCACCTTAATAGATAAAAGCAGATTACATATGGATTAAAATTATTTTTATCATACAGACCGTCTTATATTTTACACTTAAATGATGAATAAGGGTTATAACGCACATTTAAAACAAGTATAGGAGAGAGAGAGTGCCATAAGCCGTGCTTAGTGTTCCCCAGAGGAATGCGCGCGCGGCGCGTTGCTCGATGCACGTTAACGCGATCACACGGCTGCTATATGAATTTTTCATGCGCCACAAGAAGTAATGGCGTCGCCCAAGACGGTGGATCATTCTTTACGAGCCAACAACAGAAACCTTTAAAATATACGATTTATCTAGCGCTGTATTCGCAGAACATCTCAACAGAAGTACTCGTATATGCACACAAACTTTAGACATTGTCTTTCCTAGTTACTTAGATGAACTAGTAGTAATAAAATAAAAAATTACGCTAAATACGTGAAGCTTTCAACCAATAGTTTTGATAAAAATTCTCGTAAATAGGATCGGCGTGACACGCCATGTCATAGGTTCGGGAGCAGATATCCGTAATAAGATAAAGGTTTTATCGTCTTTTCGTTAGTATAGTTCCCGTATGCTCTCAGTTTGACGGAGCTTTGTGGACGACTGTTTACTTAAGGTGGGATAATCCCGGTACAGTTTCCGTATTGAATATATGTTTGTTCTGTCTGTCACATATTTTGATGTCGCCTGTCTGAATAAAGGGTTGGATGTAACAGCAGGAATTAAGAGAAAGGTCAGCTGTGTGTTGCAGGCATTCTTGTCAATCATATATCCTAATCAATAATATAATTCTTGTCAACCCTTTAATTTATATTTAATTATTATATAAAATTTATAGCAATAGTAGTTTGTAATAAATACCTACATGCATCTGAAAATCAATATCATCCCTTACCGTATTAAATGTTCGTATCTAATAGACCATGATGATATTTTAGTTTAGTCAGTTGCAATACCTATCATATAGTCAAAATATATATATGAGGGAAAATATACATCAACAATGAAATGTCACAAAATACTCTAATACATACGGCAAACAAGTGAAGAGTAAACTAGAAGTAGTACTTATAAAAAATATTCACTGTAACCATTTACTCGAATATTAACTAACTTCCAACCAACGAGTAAAGAAAGAAAATTTCGTTGCATCAAATATTTTTAACATTTTAAGCAAAAAAATGTAAATTTGCAACATCATCGTTCATCATTCATCATATGAAATTAATATCGCCGTCGCTTTCCCCGTTCTCATTTCGTTGCGTAGTATCTACGATTTACTGCGCGGATTCATATTACCGTAAAGTATCGGTGGCCAAAGAGAACACAGATTCTATATGCTTTTTCACAATCCTATATATCAAATGCTATTAAAGCTTTTATTTTTTCAAACGATTATACCTATCCCAGCAAACGCCGTTAATTTTTCAATGGATTTTACGAACAAATATAGCAATCTCTCTTGACGCGGTAAAATGGTTGAACTCGGACGACGATACTTGACGCTCGGAACAATGGAGTGAGCAGGTAATTGGCATTAAACCGTACTTGAAATGGTAGGTAGTGCTACTCGGAGCGGCAAAGGGGGCAGTACCGGCGTCGCTCTGATACCTCTACTCTAATTAGGTAGAAATACGAGAAGTAAGAGGTAAAATGATATTGTTCATGAGCTATAAAAACTGTTTTTTCTTCAATAACGCTTTTTTCAATTACCTTTAAGAGTAAAATACTCTTTTTAGTGTAAGATACCTTAAAAAATATTTTGCTATTTACCTAACACATTAATCATTATACACATCTCGCATAACCTATTTATATAATTGTTAAACAAAATATAGAGAGAGAAATTGAATTTCGAAGATAAATAAAATTGCTCTTTGCATGGAGGGCTAAGTGAAAAAAACAAGTCGGATTTTATTGACGTCGGAACATCATTATTATTTGCTTATTTTCGTTTTCGCCCCGATACCTTATAATGCCTTATTGCTTGGAAAATTACGTTAAATTTGAGAGCTAAATAATTGGGCAAATTACATCGCAAATCGGCTTATAGAAGGAAAATTTGCAAATTAGATACTTAAAGGATTTTCAAACCTACGCCATAAATATATACAATATTGTTTAGGGTACCGTAAACAAATAAAAATTTAAAAAAAAATACTAGCACTTTAAGTAAGAAAGTTAGTAAAAAAACGGATGTACAAGCTACTAATTTTTCATAAACAGCTTCTTCAACTTTTTTGCATAAAGGCATAAAAGAAAATATTGACCTTTCTCTTCGGACCATGGATCGTGGTTGTAAAGTTGGGTAAAGTACCAAAACATTTATTACTACAAAAAGAAAAAAGAAATTCGGTTATGTGGGTCAAATTGCAGAAAAATGATTAATATTTTGGACTTTATGCATTGGAAAAACCCGGCCTTTTCCCAAGTAAAATTGACTGCGACTTTTTGAGTCTCAAAATTATCTTTCTGTGTTTGATTATATGGAATGATTATTATAGAATAAATATATTAACTCTCTTTTGAGCAATAAATTAAGTGTGAATTGTGGCTCTGGCTAAATATAGTTATAATTCTTGATGTCTTTAAACTACGGAATCACACAAGCGTGTGCCAAACATTTATGAACTTGTTTGGAAAAAATTATCATGAGAAAGATTTATATATTTCATTTTCAAAGAAGCGTTCCCAATTAACAATATTTCCTAAGAAGTTATATTATTAGACATAAGTAGTCTCGTTTCTCGTACTTAGACCCAATAACAAAATATATTTATTCTCACGAAACTCAGAATTATAACGTTCTGATAACACTCAATCAGGGGATTACAATGTTTAATAATACTCAATAATGGTACAAGATGCTGTTAGGTAAAACACTTGATCATTTTAAGACAAATTATGAAGGTAGAACTTCACTTAATTGCTTCTTAATAAATTTCTAAATTAAATAATATTCAACATTCTATCGTAGACTTTAGGTATAAACTAGCCTATTACATAACCCTCTATAAGTTCCATTGTAAACACACACACTTGCATGTATGAGTGATAATAATTTCATTTCCGAAAATGTAACATTGTCTATAATGATTGGATAAATAAATGATATATATTATAATTTTAAATAAATTATATATATATATATATATATATATAATAACCGTATCTTTGTTCGAAATATGATAAATATGCCATTCAAAAATAACTAATTCAGAAATTATTCATTATAAAGGAATTTTTCAAGGACGCATTATTAGTTTCAACTTCGAAGATGTTAA